CGTTATTTGACATTGATAGCGTGGAATACTGCTGAGACTCAGACTTGATGCAAGGGCTGACCTCATCCTTGATAGGCATGGTTGGAACACCATGAGCCATAAATTAACTGGAATTCAAAAACCTTGTGCGCTACGCGCACGTCACCTGGTGGGGCTTTGGTGAGTCATGAAACCACCTCTGCTAGGAAGCAAGAAGCTCTTTTGGACCGGGACGGTCAACGTGCTGGATATTGGAGTGTCCGAGTTGTCAAACACCGAAGGTGTACTGGACAACAATCCCGAGCATGGCTCGTGGGCTGAACGTGGGGTGGCACGTAAATCTGAGCGCTGCTCAAGTATTGGAGCAGTATCTGCATGCCAAGAGTGGCATGGTCGGCCAAGGGCCGAGGCATCGAGGGCGAGGCCCCAGTGATGCATGTGAAGTGGCACGTAACCCACTTAGAACTGCTCACGTTACAAAGCATCTGCTGACGCCAAGAGTGGCATGGTCGGACAAGGTCCAAAACATTTAGGCGAGGCCCTTGTGATGTGCGTGAAGTGGGAAGTAATCCACGGAGCACTGCTAACGTTTCGAAGTAGTTGCTACATTCCAAGAGTGACATGGTCGGACGAGGTTTGAGGCATCTTGGACAAAGCTTTTGTGAAGCGCGCGGGTTGGCACGTTATCCACTGGACGACGACTACGGAAATAGCAGCTCTTCGTCGAATGTTGTTAATAACATCAAGGCTCCGATGGAGCAGGGAGTGGGAACACTGTACGACGCGAAATGCGTGTTTCCGCTGGTCTCGATGAGACATAAAAAGGAGGCGGCAAAGCCGTATGATGATTGCAAGACGTAGGGCGTCGACCCTAACCAGGGTGTGGCTACTGTAGAAGATAGCGCATAGCGATTTATCCTTGTCAACGGTATGACGGGAGAGGAAGACAGTGATGTCACCCTTAAGGCTATTCCCGCGGTGCATGCACGTCTTGAGCTGGACGAGATGTCCTTCAAAGAGTTTAGCGGTGCCTTGAAGGCAAACAATTCAGACGAGGTGATCATTATAAGACCAAACGAGGAGTTACTCGTCATCGCTTCTGGATGAAGCTGTCCTGGAGGACACCAAGAAAGTGCTGAACGCACGAAGTGGATCGTCGATCCTGAAGGATTCCTCGGATCCGTACTATCCTTTGGTTATGGAATCTGAAGACGTCGTCTCCAAAGTCCTGCCGTCGGTCTTACCAACGGACCGAGGTGTGCGTCATGAGATCGACCAGGTTTCGGGGGCCAATCACTGCGTAACACCAATGGCCCCTGCCCAAGGAGCAGTATGGCGTCATTGACGACTTTTTCCGTGCGAAGCGCGACGCAGGAATGGTGCGTGAGAGCAAGTCTCTCATTGACACCCACGTTTTGTGCCCGGAAGCCGAACGGCAACTGGCGTATAGCTCACGCTTACATCAAGCTAAACGATGACACCATCCCGGCACGGACGTCGATTCCTGGGAAGGATATTCCCTGGAACAATATGGCTGTACAAAGTACACTCGACTTGGTTGATTAAGTTACCAATTGCTCATGAGAGCGAGTGATATTCCGCTGACAGCGGTGAGTACTCCGAGTGGGATGCTCTAGGAGTGGCTGGTGTTGCCCCAAGGGCTGTCAAATGCACCAGCAACATTTATTTGTCTTGTGACGCAGTTGCTCAGGCGCCACATGGCGTATGCGCAAGCATACTTCAACAACATCTCTGTCCCAGTCGTGCGGGGCACGGGAGGATAGATGAGGAAAACCACATCGTTCATTTGAGAGCGGTGCTCGAGTGCATGCTCACGAATAAACTGTATGCCAATGCCGATAAGTGCATATTCGGCGCGGAAAAAATCTCCTTTTTTGGGTGCTTCATTGAGAAGCGTGGCCTTTGAGCGGATCCCGGAGGTCAACGCCACTGCGGAATGGTCATTTAAAGAAACAAAAGGACTCGCGCAGGTGGCTTGGCCTCGCCAACTACTTGCACAAGTATAGCGCAAATTATGCTGAAATGGTACGGCCATTGTCGAATCTCCTTTGAAAGGATACAGAACGGTGTTGCGACAACAAGCATCGGAAGGCTTTTGAAACGGTCAAATATAGTCTCCTTAATGCACCAATACTAACGTTGCCAGAACCTGATCGTCCTTTGAGTGTCGTCTGTGATGCTTCGGACTTTGCCATCGGTTGTGCACTGCTGCAAGCAGACGCCGAGGGGTGAGATCGGGTGATCGTGTTCGAATCCCGCCAGCTTAAGGCTGGGGAGAGGAACTATCTAATCCACGACAAGAAATTACTCGGGATGAAGTATGCACTTGTCAAATTCAGAATGCACCTGCTTGGCTCAAACTGTTTGTGGTATACACAGATCATGCGTTATTACGACTCAGTCGCCTCACCTCTCGCAGAGATGACCGGGTGGCTCTCTTTCTTTGCAAAACATAACTTCGATGTGAAGTATAATCCAGAAAAGCAGATTTTGTTGATGCGTTGTCAGGCAGACCTGGATTATGAGCTTGCTCATGTCATGACGGTGACGTTGTTAGTGACGGATTTGATCCGCACCGCACACACGGGTGATGGTATGTGTGTAGCACAGCTACAGGCTCTCGGGAACCAGGGGTGTGGGGACTCGGACAAAATATTGTCGGCGAGGTTGCGCGCACGATTACACTGATATTCGTTGAATAATGGGTTGCTGTATTATAGCACCGATTCGACGGATACGCCACGAATCGTGGTTCCTCACGACGAGGATTCGATATATCATATCCTCTATGAGGCCCACGATATCCTCATCTCGGTCGTGAGAAGTCGTACAGCTCAGTGAGTTGCCTGTATTGGTGGTTAAAGCTGTACAAATGGACGAGCACATATGTGCGCACATGTGAGACGTGTCAGAGGTTGAAACTCTCCCTAAATGCGGTGCCCCGTTAGCCAGTTTACCGGTAACATTCAGGTGTTGGCAGTCCATGAGTATAGACTTTTTGTTTGGCCTGCGGAAGAACTCGGCGGGCAACGCGGGTGTGGTGGTATTTGTGGACCGTTTGAGCAAGATAGCTCATCTTGCGGCAGCGGCGGACGCCATCGACGGTGTGGGTATAGCGAAGCTGTTTGTCGATCGTGTTTTTCGACAACATGGACACCCGGAGTCAATTGGCTATGCTAGAGACCCACGCTTCACTGAAACGTTTTAGTTTACACTCTTCAAGGTGCTGGGAACCTAGTTGACGATGCTAACAGTGGATCATCCACAAACCGATGGTCAAACTGAGCGCGTGAATCGCGTCGTTGAAGACGATCCTTGCAGTGTCTGCGCTGAGACGCCGAATCCCTGGGGCGCCATGCTGCCACTCGTAGAGTTTGCTCATAACAATGCATTCATCCACCGGCTATACGCCGTACTACATGATAGCCGGAGGATCATGAGCTGATCTCAAGCTATGGCCCTGAGCTGCTGTGGTCGTAAACTCATCCCTTTGAGAAGCCACTGAGCTCGCGAAAGTGTGATGGATAATTTCATGAGTCGTAAGGCGACAATACACACGAAGTCAACGTTGCGCCTTGAGTTTGGCAAACTCAAATCGAAGATAGCGCTCAACGCGTACGTCCACTTCCTTGTGGCTTTGCTGTAAGGAAGACAGCAAGGAAAGTTTCCGGTGATGCTGCAACCATCGCTAAAAGAGCCCCTCATAATCTGCAGCGTTTTCGCCCGGGGCGAACACCACAGGAATATTACGTGATGCGGGGTACAGGAGCGCCTCCTTTTTGAGCTCGAAGTCGAGCGAATTACTGGTTCATTGGGAATTCTTGTGCTACCTACAAGCGAGCTCGGATGGCCTTCTGCTGATCAAGCTCATCTTGTGTAGTGGCCGGTGGCCCAACTACGTAGACGCCTTACGATTGAGTGATCGCGTCTATCGCTTCAGTAGAGGGATCCACCGAGTGGAAGCCGTACTCCACACGAGGAGCTTGGACCGGATGTGGATACGAGCGCATGAGAGCCGCCCTCTGAGCAGCCTCGGATTACTGCTTCTGTGTCTCATCGAGGCAATTGGTAACAATATCACTTCCCTCGGAAGTTGTGATGTCGGGGAACGGACACGGTGTCCGCAAGACGTGAGCAGGGCTCACGTCGCGCCGTTGAGCTGCCTCAACCTCCTCATATTCTCATACTAGGAAGGGAGTATCCGACTCGTAGACGACTTCCTCCAACTCGTCGACAAAACTTTCTGTCGCCCGGGGCGAGCACGGTGTGTTGCGCTCGGTTGCCGAAGGCTTGGAATGTGCTTTCCGTGAAGCCGCAGTCGTACTGTGCGGAGATGCACTTGTGCAGAAGAAGAAGTACGCTCTGCCCGCACGCGCCGTCGATACTAACTAGGCTGGCTGTTTTGCGTGTCATAGACACAGGGCTCATGGAGCGGAGAATGTCTAAGGTTGTTTTAAGAACGTAACGGTGTCTCATACACGCGAGCCTCGTATGAGGCGATGGTTAAGTGTGAATCGTGGATATCCACAACTTTAATGGGGGAGAGTGTAACAGGGTTACATGTACTCTTGTATGAAAGGGCGAGTCACACAAGATGGTGCGACAGGTGTGAATTACACGATCTGGTGTAATCACACAACGGTCTAGCTACACCGTAACAAGAAGCCACTACGTGGCAAGATTGCCAGTAGTAATGCATATTAATTAGGTATTACTACGTTAATTAAGTGTAACTAGATTAATTAAAAAAACTAGGGTTTTAGATATTGGCGGCTCTGCCGCAACTAAAACAACTAAATACAGTTTCGATTTTGAACATAATAGCGCCTCTACCTTGGTTAAGGTTTCTGAGAACTCTGGAGGTGGCGAATTGCAATCCGCTACACTCGTACTAGTTCTTGTAATGAACATAAGGTCGATGAGCTTAGCGTTCTCTAAGCAAAGCGCATGGCAGCCCCACTGCACTACCCGCAACACAGTATAAGGTACAAGCTTCTGCAATGCGAGTACTCCACTTGCAGCGAGTTACGTGCCCTATGTGGGATATAGTCCTTATTAATCTCGACCCGCAAGTGCCGTCTGCCTGTGACCTAACGCCACTTCGCCAAAATCTATGTAGTTGGAATAGACAGAAAGGGTACTGCCACGAGTTCAAGGATCAAAGGTTACTTTCTTTGCGTGTCAAAACTGCCACGGTCCGCACGTTTTTTTATTCTTACTAGCGAGGTCCCAGCCCTGATAAGATAAAACACTTTTGTAATTGTTATGCCCGCACGGTGCTAGACAATTGTGATGCGGGAAGCACTGTGCATAAACATTAAATCAATTACAATATTGCACAATTTACTTTTGTGGTTAAGTGAATACTTGCATGTTCCAAAACCTAAGCCGGTAAAGGAGGGGCTCGTTGCATACTATTAAATTCCCACACAACGTATTCGATGGAATGACACTGCCATCATGAAACGTGGCTGCATGCCGCACGTCGAGAAAATAGAGACACTGTCGTTATGAGACATAATAAACGTATGATTCAAAAAAGCTACACTGTTTACTATAACTTGACGAACCCAATCTTTTATGCGTTTATCTTTGAGTCTGAGCTTGCTATATTAAATGTGCTCGGCAACCTTGTTATAACTTCCTTGATCTTCTTGATGAGCGCATACATACCTTTGTCTTTGTATGAGGAAGAGAACGATACGGTCACACCTGCATAGTCTCAAAAGTCAAATTATTTTTTGTTGAAAATTTGCCAGATACTTTTAATTTTAATGGGAGACTTATGCTAGAAGGTGTTTAAGTGACATGTATCGTAAACGCTGGCCGGTGAAGCCAAAGTGCTGTTAAAAGAGCGATGACGCAATTACCAAAACTATCGTCGACAACAACGAGGTCTATGTCGCTCAAGTGAGACACTTTTATACAATTTTCGTGGTATAGATCGCTGGTGAAGTGTACGGGTGTGGTAATGCAAGACGATGTTGCAGGACTGCTCTGTATCATAAGTATCATATTTCACTCTACTGCGAGCAGTAGAACAGACAAAAAAACGAAAGTGGCAGAGGAACAAGACTGGCTGTGCTTCGCGTGGGAGTGGCAGTATGAACGCACCAAGCGCCTAAGTCTTCTTTCTCCTTATGATAGGGTTTAACGTCACTGGATATGCTTCACGGGCAAATGCAGTAACGGCTGCTTCATCTACTTACTTTCTGAGTAACTTGATCGTACTCGACACTTCCTCTTTTTTTGATTTTTGTCGTTATGTCCCTCATGACGAATCAGTAGTCTTACATACACCCTTCTCATGTCGGACCTGAATTCACGCGAATGAGCTTGCTTTTTCCCGCTTTCTCTTGTCTTAAAAACCTCACGCGCCCTGATAGTGGTGGGCTCTCCTTCGATAAATGCTCTAGTTACCCGAAGACATCGAGTTACCACCACTGCCTTGAACAGCCATATCGTTGACGGTGTCTATCATTTCACCAAACATGGGGTTTTGATTTTTCTCCTTCTTGTGCTGCACTTTAAGGCGTTTGCGGCCAACTTGGAAGCCGTTCATCCCCTTAATAGCGGCATCAGCCGAGGGAGCGTTGTCATAGCTTACGAAACCTATTATATCAAAGCAACGCGTTGAAGTCAGCATCTTCAAAGCTTAATCGCCCACTATTCCATTAAGACAAATGAGTATCGCGTACCAAAGCCACGGCTCCTTCCTGTCTCTTTCTCGACCATGATACGAGCACTAATCACGTTGCCAAACGTAGCGAAGTAATTAAAGAGATCCTGGTTGGTCATGTCGTTTGGAATATGAAATACAAAGAGATTGCAACCAGGGGGTCCTAAAGAAGTAATGAGCAAAAAAAATATTCGATCACGCGCAATGTGATGAGATTCTACCGTCAGATTCATGCACGTCACATATAAATATAACATATTGTTTACCTTGGCCACTTTCTGTAGTTTGGATCGGAGGACCAGGGCCCACAATCTGGGGAGGGTAACCTGCATGGATTAAAACAAGGTTATTATAGATAGCACACCACACTTAATCTAGCATACGTGCCATAAGCCTGCGGGAACGGGTACATATACCCACTGCCACCATACGGGGGTGCGTACTGCATAGGCTGACCATACGCCTGCGGGTAACCTCCATAAGCCGTGGCACTCGCTAGATACAACATGACGAACATCAATCACCCGTCGTTTCAAGCCGTTATTAGTTCTACAAGTCAACGCACCTTGCGGGACTTGGCCACCCAGTTGTGGCTGAGGCTGTTGGAATCCTCCCGTGACAGATTGTTGCTGTTGCTGTTGTTGCTGAGGATTACCGCGTGACAAGTCAGTCTGCGGAGCAATAAGCTCCGCCGGACTAATGATACAAACAAAAAGAGTTTAAGTCTTGGTTACCGCAACAAAATGCTATGATCAATCGCATAAGTGACTAAACGTACCGTTCCCAAGTGGACTCGCCCGTAGAAGCATTATAATAATATTTCCGTCCGTTTGGCGCATTGTGTTCGGACCACTGAGTTGTCGAAGGCACTTGGGCTTCAACGCCGATGTTGAGATCTACTTGATCGGCCATGGGGTTTTGTAGTGGTATGCAATAAACGCAAAATGAAAATGCAGTGCGATGGGCTACAAGACTGACGAGCTGAGAGCCGGCTTGTGGCTGACACCTCTAAGCTTGCTCGGCTGTCGACAACGGGGGCCTTTCGGATACGCTGCTTCCCCTTCGTGCACGAAAGACGTGGACGAGAGCGAAAGGAAAAGATGTCACTATTTGGAGGGGGAGATAACATACTATAAATAGAATTCAGTCAGTGGGCAAAACAATGTTCATGCTTTACGTCAAATTATTACCGTCACTATAATCAGACGAAGTACGCAATAATTTCTCTTACACAGTCAGAAATCGGTCTTCAAACATGCATAATATCACACTTCATTAAAGCGAGTTTTATCAGGTTTTTTATCCTCATTTTGATGAAAGTGGGCATGGAAAGGTGCGCCCACATTCGTCAGAAAAACCGCGCTATGATTCGGTAGCATCTGAAATATAGCGGCGGTGGAGTCTTTCGAACTACTGGTCTGTACATATTCGCCGTGCTATACGCGAGATTGTACAAGAGATTTGCGTGAAGAGGAACATTTTTCGTAAGGAAAATTTGCCTTGACAAGGCTTTGAGAGTTCAGAATTTTTTAATCGCTTAATAACAATTCGATGCGTGAATTCGGCCAAGCTTGCACAGAAAGTTATAGATAGAACGAAAACTTATCTGGATCACCTGTCTGGGCCACATCAACATGAGACATCTGGGCGTTGTGCAGCCACTCAAGTGCGACAGACTGGAACTTCACCAGATGGGACTTGTAGATCCGACTATCATTAAGAGCAGCCCGGCCGCATCCAATCCTCAAAAGTTTCGATGCAGCCCAGCGGGGGCCGCCACAAGCTTTCCAAATAGACCATCAGGCTCAATCCTCAGAGCTAATCTTTTTTGTATGATTGCGAGTCCTTAAAATGTACTATCTGTATTCTCTTTGCTCGAGAAGTATAGCGTTCCTGGTTTTAAACAAGGTGTATCATGTCGGCAACTAGTTTGTCTATTACGGCAATGAAAGGCCATTTAATCTGAAAATGATAAGCTTTTGCTTAACATTGCGCCAATTTAATATGGTTTCTGTTGTGAAGTGATTTACTAATGAAACGTTGTTGTGAATTGAAGTAGAGTCAGTTTTGCTATCAAGAGACTGTCACTCTTAGTCAACAGCTTCGATAAGATATGAACTGCGTAGACGACTTGCTATAGCGTGGTTCGGACAGCTGAACGCATCATCTTAGGGCTGCAATTGCAAAAGCTATTCAAGACAACTAGTGTGACAAGGTTACACGTAACCTGGTAACAGGTGTGTGTGTAACACGAGATGTGCTTGGTGTGACCATACCCAAACAAGAATACGGTACGGGTTAGGTAGCCAGTGGTTATGCATGTATTTATATTTTTGCTATATACATTTAGTATATTTAGGAAGATCTAAACTTTTAAAATTAGGCGGCTTTGCCGCAGATAAAAATAAATCAAAATCCGTTTTGGATTTTAAACGGATGAATTTATTAGTATTGGGTTAGGCAATAATTACTCTTGGAGTAAGCAGATTGCGATCCGCTGAATCGTACTTGGTTCTTGTAAAGAACGAAAGAACGGTGACCTAAATTACGCTTCCTCAAGCGCCAAGCTACGGCAGCCTTGCTGCACTTGGTAGCACTTGTAGTCAATCTACACCTGTGTCGTTTAGACTGATCCTCTGTGAGGATGGGAAATTTTCCTCA